ATATGGACAGACACCAATTTTCAGTTTTCTCTGCAGTCTCACTTTTGATTTTGTTTTTTTTATTATTTAAAACTTCAAAGGGGAAATTTGTTGGGAAAGAGTTTAAAAATTTTTAACAGATTTTTAACAGACATGCTTTGTTGTCGTCATAATTTAGGTAAACGAAGGTACAACATCAAGCTGTGGAAGACCTTTACAGATTGTTTTAACTGCCTTCCTATTGCTGCGATTGTTGACGAGAAGATCTTTTGCTGCCATGGAGGTGGGTTGTTGTTTTTCTTTACAGTACAGTCTGATCTTTTTTGGTCTCATCTGTTGCGTATTTGCACGAAAAAGTACAGTTTTAACGTCATCTGTTATGTTGTTGTGAAATGCTGCCTGTGCAGTTTGTCCTCCAGCGTCAGTCTGACCCACATGTGATAGGTTCTGACCTCTGTGTTTGTTTGTCTGTTTATTGGTGTCGTTTCCTTGTTTTTGCACGAAGGGCTTTCACCCGACCTTCAGTCCATGGAGCAGATCAGGCGCATCATGCGTCCCACTGACGTACCCGACCAGGGCCTGCTGTGCGATCTGCTGTGGTCTGACCCAGACAAGGATGTATTGGGCTGGGGTGAGAACGACAGGGGCGTCTCATTTACCTTCGGCTCAGAGGTGGTAGCCAAGTTCCTGCACAAGCACGACCTGGATCTGATCTGCCGTGCCCATCAGGTATGTCACTTTAGTCAAGAACATCACATCCAGTGCCAGAACTGGCAGGCGTTCAGTGTATACTAACTTCTGTTCTCTGTCATTTGGTACTATAAACCTTTGGACCCTTTTTAATCTGCTATGGTTTGTGCCCAGAACAGCTGACTGTTTCCTGTTTCTTTTAAAAGGAAAGGAACATTTCTTGGTCGTCTTCTAAAAATTACAATAATTTAATAAAAAGAGAATTTTGGAATCAGTTTTTGTTGATAAACGGATCTTAAATTAATTAATTTTAATCATTCAGAGAACATTTTCATTAGAGCTCTATGGCAGTAATATTGTTGCAAAATTATTTGTACATGTGTGGAGAGTTGTGTGTCTGTATCTCGATTTGTGTGCAGCGGGATTTGAAAATGTGTAAATAAATCTGCAAATGTGTGAAACTATTTTTTTTGTAATCCGGTTTGCAAATGTGTAAAAAAAATAAAAGAAATTAAAAAAGAAATGTACAAATCTGTATTCAGATCTACAAATGCGTACTAAGATTTGCAAATGTATAGATCAATGTGTAAGCACACAGAGTGTTGTTGCTTCAACACCCAGAAATTCAGACAAATCTTTGGTTACAAGTCAGGCGGTTTCTTGGTTGGCTCTCTTTGCACACGTGATTTAAGCTACACTTCTGCCATGTGAGACCCGCAAATGCGTAGCCTGTGAGTCTACGCATTTGATCAGTAAAATATGCAATATGCCATAATGTTGGTGAATATCAGAGGGCTTTATGAGCTACGATAAATGTGAGACCATAAATTTGGTACTGGGGGAAAAAAGATATTCACTATTAGCATTTAACAAGGATGGTTTTAGTTTAAAATGTTGCTTCTGGCTACATCAGAGAATTTAAATTACAATTAAAGGATACCTTTATTGATTCTAAAGTTAAATTGAAGGTTTCTTTAGGATTTTAGCGAACGCCTTTATGCTCTTAAAAAAAGCTTCACCAACTATATCAGCAGGATAAGAGCCAGAAGGAATGGCTCCTATTGATTCTTTACGGTTCTCTGCAACATCAACACTACATTTAAACATCATGACAGATCTGTGATATATGATGCATCTTCATCGAATTAGTTTTTAACACTTTTAAAAAAGGCGGCTTCCAGTTAACTTCATGATATGAACGGTGCTGTGTGCTCCTCCTGATCCACGACTGGACTATATTTAACACAGTGTTACATAATTCAGTTTACCGATCCTACCGACTGAACCCCCACGTCTGGGATTTTTATCTGTACTGTTTTTTTTTGTTTTTTTATCTTGCAGGTTGTTGAGGACGGCTACGAGTTTTTTGCAAAGCGGCAGCTCGTCACATTGTTCTCAGCGCCCAATTACTGTGGCGAGTTCGACAACGCTGGTGCCATGATGAGCGTTGATGAGACTCTCATGTGCTCATTTCAGGTAGAACACTGATTTTTATTTTAGTTTTTTTTTTGCTCACACAATCAAGCAAACATTTATTAGTTATTATATTATATCCTTCATTTTGGACTGCAGCAGTAAAAGGTACTTTTATTTAAGCAGTAGAGTATTTATAGTATTTATTAATGTTGCGCTAACCTCCATTTGTCTTTGAAAGAAGAATTTCAGAATCTCTTGTTGGAAAAATAAACAACAGAGTCTCCTGAAGTCCAAGTATCAACCCTGATTCCAAAGTCCAGTATGGGTGCAGTCTAATATCTGGAGTCATCAGCTTTTATTAGAAATGTTTGATAGTTTTTCTTTCAGTCACAAACAGATTTCCAAACATTTCAGCAGACTGGATTCCTCCTGAGAAACATAACAGTACTTCACACTACATTTATTGTTGAGATAAAGTCCAGTAATTATTTTAATTATTTTAACACTAACCCCCTAAATAAATATATCAAAAAATAGATTTAATTATATAATTGTAATTCTTGTTGTATAGTAATAATGCTATAGATAAATGTAGCATTTACATATTTTAAGGCAAAATGAACATTATTGTATTTCATCATATATTTGGGCCTCCCTATACCTCAAGGGTCACATCATAGTTAATGTGACACCCCCCCACCCCACTTAGTTTCTTGCGATCCCAAGGGGGTCATAACCCTTAAGGCCAGATCACACCGTTTTCGATTTTTCGTCCAACCTGACAGAAAATCCTGTTGGAAAAGGTTGTGGTATTTAGCGATCTTTGACATTAATTGGAGAAGGTTTCCTGCTGAGGACAGAGAAGATCTGCCTGAGATAGAGCCCAGGTCTATTTTATTCGGACTACGCAGCAATTCAGCAGCAATATCATGGGTCTGACAGGAAGAGAGACGCTGTTACAAAGTAAAATACATCCGCTTTAAGGGAAAATACGAAATAAAATCTGTTCATCGTACAAAGAAAGAGTCAGTTTGGATTCGCACATTGTGTTTATAGTAACCAAGACAGACTGGAGCTAAAGCAATCAATGAAACTTAAAATAGAAGACTTTCCCCATGATAGGAGTTCAGGAGGACAGAAAAAGGATAAAGTAGTGATCGTCTTTGAGCCTCACAGAAACCAGAATATGGAGGGTCAGACAGAGCAGGTCAGCGCAGCGTATCTCTCTCACCTCTATGTGGAAAAAAGAAAGAAAAACTTGGATAAACTTCCCAGATCTCTCTCTGAGAATCACCTCTCTGCCTCAGTCACCATAGAAACCGTCCCACGCCGTTTATTGCTGCATGTTTCTCTTCTTTAGACATAGATCTCATTGTTTTTAATATATGAACATTCTGTATCTGTGTTGGCAGCACAGACTCATTAAGTGCGTCTTTGTTTAATATCTGCACTGTTTTTCATTTTAATAACTTCATCATCTGTCCAAGTCAAATTAAGGGAATTGCTTTAATTTCTGTGTAGCAAAGAGAAGGAAGTGGGGGAAGAAAAAAATCTGAAAACTTTCTTTTTTAATTTGTTCTGCAGATTTTAAAACCAGCTGAGAAGAAGAAGCCGAACGGGAGCCGCCCTGTCACTCCCCCCCGCAATATGGTCACCAAACAAGCCAAGAAGTGAGGGGCCGGGCTGGAGACCGAATGGCCGGAGATGCACTCTGTCTGCTTTCATCCTCTGCGTTCAAAGGATTGGTTATTTTTCACGCTGCCAATACCGAAAAGATATCCACTCCTACTTGATGAAAGCAAAAATATTTTATTGTTTGACCGTCCACAGGGGTAAATTGATATGTCACCATGGAAAACCTCAGGTGTTTTGCACTCCATTTTGCAGCTAGTCTTTGCCACATATGACTGTTCAATCAGGAAAAATGTAATAATAATAATAATACGGCTACTTATGCACAGGAATGCCTTGTTTAAAGCTGTGCACAATTTTTCCAGTTATATTTCATGTCTTTCGTCATTTCATTCACCTGTAATTGTTAATGGATATAAAAGTTCTAAGGAAAGTCATGGACACAAGTTCACCTCTGTAAACTTTATTTACAGTTAAGTTACTCATAATTTCATAGATTGACAACACTGCATCACATTTTGAATAAGTCTCGTGCTAAACTGATTAATAAATAAGCACTCTTGTAACATGTAAATCTTTCTAATAAACTTTTAAGTGTGTTTAGGTTGGGAATTGATAGTTGAATGTTATGTTTCCAAAGCTTTTATTCCTCTTACAACTAATAAACTGAAAATGAAAAATAAAAAGGCTGTAAATTGTAACCTGGTTGATCTGTTAATTAATGTATGATTTCAAATTCACTTGCAAGGAGAAGACAGATAATCTGCAATTTTCTAATTCTTTGAGGGTAAATCAAAAAATATTATACTTTATAAGTATTTGAAAACTATGGAAGAGGATTAGGGCCAATGGAAAAAAAAAAGTTAACTGATTTTTAAATTTTATTTCAGTTTAAAATGGGAAAAAAGGTCAGAATTCTGACTCTTCCTTTCACATCTCTTCCTTCATGGTGCCCATCTACATTAAGATCCAAAATTCTGAGAAAAAAGTCAGAATTCCGACTTTTTTTCCAATATTAAACTGAAATAAAATGTAAAAATCAGTACTTTTTTTTTTCTTCCGTAGAAATCGTTTCAGCTAATCTGCTTTTTCTGTTCGGACAGTTTCCCTTCATTTGGCCTTCCGTTCGGTAAATGGAAAAGTATGGCAGGCCGTTTTATCATGAAATCAGCTTTACGGCCTGCCATAAGACACTGTTTCCTTATTAGGAAACGTAGATTTGGTAACGCGTGACGTCAGCGCAGTCTTGTGATCGCTCTGAGGCCACAGCTGCAGCCGCTCCGCTCCGCTCCAGTGTCTCTGAGGCTCAGTGACAGCATGGCCGCTCACCGCCGACCCCCGCTGCTCCGCCAGAGAGGAAGACGCGGATCCCCGTGAGACGCCATTAAAAAAAAAGAGCAGCTTTGCCTTTGTTTGCTTCCCTCCAGCCTCGCGTGTCAAACATCGCGTTCTCTGTTCGACGCTAAGCTAGCCGGGCTGCTAGCTCGGCCGGTCGCCTGGCTGCCGCGGGGCTGGTGCGTAGGTGATGTTGTCGGTGTTGTCTTACGGTCGACTCGTTGCCAGAGCTGTGATCGGCGGACTTTCTCAGACAGACAGCCGCGACTACAGCCTGGTGACGGCGAGCTGCGGCTTCGGCAAAGATTTCCGCAGAGGCATCCTGAAGAAAGGGATGTGTTATGGGGACGACGCGTGCTTCATCGCCCGGCACAGATCCGCCGATGTTTTAGGTAAGAGTCCGATCTGTGTTTGACAGATTAAAGAAGAGAGCAGGTCTTCAGTCCTTTTAATCGCAGTTAAATTTGGATTATAAGCTGGACATCGCAGACTGTCCGAATTAATCAATGAGAGCATCTCTGGGTCACAGACACCCTGATCTGTGAGCAGAAGCTGCCATTTAAGTATTTTGGGGAATCAGCCTCCTAATCTGATTGAAAGTGCTGCTGACACCCGCAGAGTAGATCAGGTTTCCAGATTTAACCTGCAATCAGGAACAGCTTCTCTCTAAACCTGGCTGTTCATTTCCAGGCTGCTCTCAGTCCTGAAGGAAGGATGCAGTGAACTCTCCTTGTATGGCAGCAGAGCAGATTCTGGCGTCCTGGGAGTAGAAGGGCAAAAAGCTTCCTTTCTAGGAAAAACTTGGATCTTATCCTCAAACTCCTTCTGAGGAAAATACGATAAACAAAAACCTGAAAATGTTTTTCTCTGGTTTTTATGCAATAAAACACCAGCAGCCATCTGTCTGAAGTGGAGCTAAACTGAAAATGTCAGCATGTTGCAACCTAAAACTTAACAACCAGAATACACCATTCATGTGATGAAGCATGGTGGTGGCAGCCAGGGGGGGATTTACCATTAAGCAGTTGCCTAGGGCCCCCAAGTTCCTGTGGACCCCATAAAACTCTGTTTACATGTATAGTTAATAATGTATTCCTTATTTTTGCACATTAATTATGTTTTTGTTAAAAGTCCTTTTGCTAAAATGCCATCAGAACGATTATAATAAGTGTGTCTCATTCCCCCCTTCAGTGTCCACCATATTGGATCAGTCCATTTGCTGCACATGTTCAGAAAGGTCCAAACAGACAGCCGTTAAATAATTTGAAGACAAACGATGCAAAGAGCAGTGTTGCCAACTTAGCGCTTTAGTCGCTATATTTAGCCACTTTTCAGACCCCTCTAGCACTTTGATTTCTAAAAAGCTCCTAGCGCCAAATCTAGAGACTTTTTTCTGCTACTGGAGACTTTGGAGACAACATCTAAAAGCAGCGAACTCTGCTCTCCAGAGCAAGTAGATTGGTAACCCCGCCTCCTGCTCTCCTCTATCTTGTCTGCTGTCATGATTCATGCAGCTATTATTTCATCCAAATGAAAAATGGAGAACAGATAAGCAGATCATGGCTTGTCTACAGTGAAAAGAAGGACTGGGTTATTTACTTTGGCCTTTTTGGAAACACAGGAAGGAGCAATCAGCTAAGTGAGCTTAGTGCTTGGAAAAAATCTTTCATTCCTTTAGAGACAGCATGAAAAGTCAGCTGAGTACAAAACATAGAGAGGAAAACAAGAAGAAAAGGGACAAGAAGAGAGGGACACAACCTAGAACAGATAATGGATGTCTATTCTATTAACATTTCTCTATCTGTAGAATGGGTCTGTTTTATGTGTTGACTTCTCCATTCAGAGGGCCCCCTGCCTGTCTCTGCCTAGGGCCTCACATGTCCTAAATGCACCCCTGGCTGCAGCATCATGCTGGAGTGTTTTAGGGTTTTTTTCTAAGGGGAACTTCATGTTTGTTCATCTTGCTCGTGGTCTGACCTTTCCCAGATTTAAAGGTATAGTGGAGGATTGTTCTCTTTGCGGGTGGATCATCTAAATAAGTGGATCTCCTAATTGTCAATCATTCCGGTGTTTACGTAAGGCCGTCCTACGTGCTCGGTCTCATTTTCCTTTACTGATGGTGAGTCTGACATAAGGGGAAAAATTGCAAATCTTGTTCTGGAAAATAAGCTTGTATGAGCGATGCAAACAGCAAGTTTTAAACAGCGAGCATGAGGAGAAATGGGATCATGTTCTTGCACGCGTTTAATAGGCGTTCCCTCTCGGGAGCGGGTACAGGGTTGTGAATGTTTATTTTTTTTGTTTTAAAGTGGAGAGGGCGGGTTTTTTTTTTTTTTTTTTAATTGCAAAAATCCTCCACCATATCTTTAAGAATTTAATCTCGGTTCCAGCTTTTAATCAAACGACTCTCTGCTTCTCAGGTGTTGCTGATGGAGTTGGCGGCTGGAGAGACTACGGCGTGGACCCGTCTCAGTTTTCCGGTACGCTGATGAAGACGTGTGAGAGGCTGGTGAAGGAAGGACGCTTTGTCCCCAGCAACCCCGTGGGAGTCCTCACCACCAGCTACTACGAGCTCCTGCAGAACAAAGTGCCTCTGCTGGGTGTGTAAAACTCTCTGCATTTATCTGCAGAGGAACAAAAAACCCGCTGCCAGCCGTTAGACGTGAACCATCACTGCGAGGAGACATGCTCTGCCTTCCATGTGGTTTCCATCGGAGCGGTTTAGTTTATTGGTGGCCGGACAGGAATTTTTGCATGATGACTCACAACAGCCAGATCCCATTAAGGAGGGCTGGGAATGTCCCGACCAGTATCCCTTTCCTGCTTCTTAAAACAAAACCGCGTGTCGGGGAAAAGAGTGTTTGTGTCGGACAGTGTTGGTAGTTTTCCACTGTCCTCAGTGCAGCCGAGGAATTCAAAGAGTGATGATGGCGTCCTTTGTAAGGCTGCAGGAACGCCGTCCAGGCAGGCAGCATGTGATTGTTTAGGTCTGAGTCATGGCGTGCGAGGGCCCCGGCTTCTGAGGCTCGGTCCCAGAGAGCAGATCTGGGTGTGCTGGTTGAATCAGCAGCAGGGTGTGGCCCCTTGTTATCCGCCTGCTTCCATCCTCTTCATCTGTCCTGCCGCTGTAGGTACCAGAACTGCTCGGGGCCCCGCCCATTTCTTATGATGTCAATATATGGCAACTCCACTCGGACAAACTGTATTGCATCCGTTTCTTAAGAATCAGATCTCTTCTGGAGTCTATTATTTCCTATATTAGGTATTTAAAGTTCCATCAGTGACCTAAAGTAGCTGAAAGAAGAAAACAATCATTTTCACTCTTGAAAGAAATCACTGCCTTCTAAGACAGACTGAGCTCTGCTATTTAACAAGGAGACACTAAAGACTCAGAGCTTCTTTTCATTAAAGGAATAGTACACCCAAAACATGATTAGCCTTCATTTTCTACTCACCCCCATGCTGAACAACACTCTGGAGTACTTTTTTG